GGCAGCCCGGGGCGGGCTGACGGGCAGCCCGGGTCCGGCGGCCGGGTGGCACCGGGAGCGGCCAGCAGGGTCGGGATTTCCTTCCCGCTGTAAGCTGCCTTTACAACTTCACCAATGAATAACCCGCCTCTCTTTTCAACCTAATCACGGCCCTTTGTGTATCTTTCTGTTGATGATTTATAGAAATAAATTAATAACACCCCAACTCCACGTGCTGTAGTTTATGTTACATCTCTGCAGCGATCAGCCTGGCGCGCGGGGCTGGGCGCAGAGGCGCCCTCGGTCCCCTCCGACTTCCCGGGGTCCCCCAAGCTGCCCGCTAGCAAGCGGGCGCCGGCGGCCAGCAGAAAGGCCTAGGCCCCGTAGGCTCCCGGTGGCAGGCGGCGGGGACTGGGGTCGAGCCCTCCCCAATGCCCGCCGCGACCAGCCTTCTGGCGGAGCTGATGCTCCAGCTGCTGCGAGGGGCTCAACTTCCGACCCCTTGGGTCAGCCTGGACGCACACCACAGCCCGGGAGAAATTGCCCCACACCCGGCAAGGCGAATGAAAAAACCCTCAGAACACATTGTAGCAAAATACTTCTGGGGGGGAAAATATATACATATATACATAAGTCCCTCTTACTGACCAAGACTAAAGGCCAAGCCGCCAGGTCTCCGGAGTGCAAATTCAAATGCAAGGTCATATCCCCGCTAATTGCTGCTTCGGGCTGGCCTCGGAGCCGAGCTGCCCGGGTCCCGGGACTGGCTTGGGTGCGGGTTGTTGTTGGCTTCAGCCCGAGGCGCTGCAGTGTCGGAGCCTCGGCGAGCGGCTCCGAGCTGCAGCCCCCGGGCCGGGAGCGACGGCGGGCTCCCGGGATAATTAGTAACTAGCTGTCAAAGCCCGGGGATGGCTGGCGAGGTCCTGCAAACGATCCCGGGCCGGGGAGAGACCCCCAGCTTGCCTGATCCCCAGGGAACTCCGGAGTGGTGGTGGCGAGACGGGAAAGCGCTCTCCTTTATCAGATCGCGACCAACCAAATACGCTGGGTTTGGGGCTGCAATTGCCCTTCGCTGACTTAAGCGCGTGGGTTCTTTTGCCCCGCGCGGGTCACCTCATTCGACCGGCAAACAACCCCGTTACAAATGGAAACCGGTTTAGGGGAATCATCCGGGCTTTTGCACCTGAACAAGTAGCGCAGGTGACCACCAGGGAACTCGCTTCTGAGATCCTGGCTCTGGGTGCCGCCTGCCTCTCAGCTTGCAACCCGGGGACACTGCGCCCCAGGCTGGCCTGCGTCTTCCCTAACCTGAGGCCGCAACCGAGAAAAGTGAGTGTGGCCTGGGGCAAGTGCGGCCCGAGCCTCCTGGCCGAGGAAATTGCCGCTGTCCCTCCGCACCCACCTGCAACCTCCAGCCGCTTGGGTAACCTTAGGCAAAGGGTTTCGCAGTGGCCGGTTCTCTCGCCCAACCCCAGCCTTGCCTGGAAGGCCTCGCAAGTCCCCCACCCTGGTCCTAAACAGGGAAGGGGAAGCCTCGGGGTCCTAGATCGTTGGATTGAGACACTGGGAGGGGTCCAGTGTTGGAAGACAAGTGGAGATCGCCCCCCGCCCCCAGTACTTCCCTGGTGGGAAACAGCCTGGTGAAAGTGGTGGAGGGCAGTGTCACTCAAACACAGGCCCCAGGACTCTCGGGCGTCCACCTCCAATCTCTCTCGGCGCCTACCTGAGCATCTGGTCCACCTGGGCTCGCTGCTCCGCCGCCTCCTTGGTGTTGAGCGCCTGTAGCTCCTTGAGGATGGGAGGGGTGTCATAGTCGTCGCCGTCCTCAGAGCCCTCGTCCCCGGACAGGCGGCCCTTGGCGTGGCCGTTGGTGAGCGTATGAAAGACCGGCTTGGTGTCGGGCTCGGCCCCGCTGCCAGGGGACAGGGGCAGTGTCTCCAGCTTCACCCCGAAGTTCGGGGATGGCAGCAACTCCTCCAGGGCCTGGACCAGCACCTCCTTGGTGACCCCGGAGCTCAGCAGCGCGCTCAGGAGTTCTTGCTGGAGCGAAGTGAGCTTGGACACCATTTTCCAAGGACGCGAACAGAAGGGGTTCAGGGGATGGGTGGGTGCCACAGAGGAGGGTGGAGGGGGACTTTCACCAGCGAACCCCAAGTCCAGGAACCCCTCCACCCTTCAGCCTCCTACCACCTGTTGCTCCCCGGGGTCCCGGAGTCTCCTCCGAGAGGAGTCAGAAAACTTCTAACTTGCCATGATCGCCACCATTAGGCCATATAAGATATGCAAATTAGTGGGGCGGGCCGGACTTTCCGGGGAGGGGGAAAACCGAGCGGAGGGCCAGCTCTAGGGGCAGACGTGGAGAACCGGGGCCCCGGCCGGAGCAGGGCGCTCCGGGAGCCGTTGTCCTCACGCTGGGGGGCTAAAGACTGTCTTTTCCAAGGCCTGGTTATCAGCCAAGCTTTAATGACCTTTGGACTTGTTAAACCAGTAGCTCGGGGGCTTTTCCATTGACTGCGGACCTGCCTGAGTCCGGAGAGCTGAAGAAACGGCTTCGGTGGTTCAGGTGACAACTCGAGGAAGTTGGGGGGTTCTTGGAGAAACGAGGTGACGGAGCCTTCCAGCCGACGCCGCTGGTGGGCCTGGAGAACCAGCCAGGGGAGGAGAAACTGGTCGCTTGGCGTTGGGCGCGCGGGGAGCTGGAGGAAGTGGGGTGCTGTTAGGTGGGGTGAATAAATAGTACTCTATTCCTTTCTACCTTGGTTACAGCTGCGGAAGCCCAGGGCCAAGGGCCGAGGTCCCCACCTGCCGGGTTGGGAGGATTCGGCTTGCCGCGCCCCGGGCCCAGGTGAGCGGAAAGGGGCCGACGGAGCCCGCAGGCTTCGCTGGCTCCTTCTGGCCGGAGGGAGCCGCCGCAGCCGAGCGCCCCAGGCGGGGGCCGCACGGGCGCCCACCCTGGCGGCCGCTGGACAACTTAATGCCGGCGCCGAGAAACCCAAGCGCCCCCGTCTTGCGAGCAAAACCAGGTTTCCCCTCCTTGCCGGCGGGGAAAACCAGCCCGGCTCCCCGCGGTGCCCACTGATTTCTGGTTTGTTTGCAGCTACAGTTCCTGGCGCCGGGGACCGGTTTTTGTGGACTCAGGTCATGGCGGTGGTGGCGCGAGCCCGGAACGGCAGAAGGAGTCGGCTCAGACAAAATCGCTGTCCGCAAGAAGCAAGAAGTTGGTTTTCCACCCGGGCCTAGGCCCTGAAGGATGCCGTGGGGTTTGCAGCACCCACTGGCTTTGGCCCGGGTATCCCCGCAGCATTGAGGGGGAAGGAAGGCTGTGTGCCTGAGGCTCACCCAGACCTACCAGTGTGAAACCTGGCCTGCAGAAAGAAGAACAGGAGAAGGGTGCACTTGAGAGCCATCTCACAGACCCTCCTCTCCTGGGAGCCTCCGTCCCCTCATCTGTGAACCAGAGAAACTACTAATGCCTCCTGTTAAATGAAGCCCCACGCAATGCCCATGGGCTCACGATAGTGTGCACACCTCCTAGGGTGGAAATGCAGAAATCCCAGCAGTCTAAACTAATCGCCACTCCGCTGGAAGCTTGGTGTTCTCAGTCAAGGTGTTGTATCTTGAACAGTAACTGGTGGTAGCAGTGTCATGGAAGGAACTGAGAAGTTTGGGGACACAAATCCAGAATCAGCTGAGAATTTGCCAAGGAGTTTGTTTCTAAACTCTACCTCTCCCATCTCTAAAAAGACAGTTAGGAAGCCTGGGTTGGGTTACACAGAGAAGTATTTCTGGCTAGAGGAGGACAGGTCTGCAGTTGTCATGGGCTGGGTTTAGGGTTCCATCTTCCAGGTGTAGGTGTGCTGAAACCCCTGGGCCATTGGTCCAAGCCTCGCTGCTGAAGAGCTAGGCTGCTTCTTTTAAATACATGACCTGGCCACCTGCCTCTGGAGGCTGCAAAGAATTGGGGTGGCTGTCTGCAGGGAAACTCAGGGAAGGTTACCACAGCTCTCAGCAGTTGCTTCTTCTGCAACAAAAAATGTTAAGTTCATGGAAATTAGGACCCTTCCTTTCACCTCATTGTTTTCCGGTTTGTTGTGAAGCGTGGCAGGCCTCTGCCCTGAGCAGTTCAGCCCCAAGGGAAACATTCCCTGGCTCCCTAGTTCCTCTCAACAAGGATCATGAAGTGCTCAGAGTGTATGTCCCTGAAGAACAATCTCTTTCAGTCTCTCACTTGCTATCATGATAGAATCAGTCAAGTGTAATGAAGGCCAGTTTCTGTGTTTAACTGGGAAAACCCATTAAAAAACCAGCAATCACTTCCCTTTTAACAAGAAAGCTTTGATTTGTAGTTCTAGCCGCTGTGTGGCCTAGTCTGACTCCTCAGCCTTTTTAGCTTTCAAAATTCAGGGATCAGCAAACCTACTCCTCCCCTCATCCCAGACAACTATGTGAAGTGCTGGGAAGTTTCCAAGAGAGTACAGGGCAACTTTCCTGATAAATAACGGAGGTCGCCTGGTCACTTACAGCCAACAGCTTCTTGCAGTCACTGCCCCCACCCCCGCCCCTGGTGCCCAAATCTAGCTTGTACGTGCTGCCTGGTGCACTGTGGGTGCTCATCAAGTACCCACAGCTATGGATCTGTGAACAGGTTCAATATCCATTCCTCCACATGGGAATTTAAGAAGAGTATTTGGCCAGCAGATAGTTCTCTTTATATGCCCTAAAGCAGATTAGGATGTATGTCATAAATTCAAAATAAGTGAGCTGCTTCATAAACCCCACTGTTAAGCTTCCCCCAAATAGAGGAAACAAAGAACACAGTTGCAGTGCTCTTCCTTTTTCCTCCACAGAGGATCAAGCGGTGGTGGGAAGTAAGACCATAAGACAGTTTGAGGAGGGGTATTTGGAACCGCTGGGTAAACTCCTGGGAGGGCTGGGATTGGAGCTCAGGGCTGTTGAGCGAGGCTATAGGATGAAAAAGGATTAGGGCCGACTTTCCAAGTCCAAGAAAGGTCTTGTTTTGTTTGTGGAGGGCGGGCAGGGGAAAGGAGGGCATGTAGGAGGGTAAGGTATAGGGCACAGTGAAGAACAGAGGGCAGACGTGGCAGTGGAATAGGCTGGCTCTGGATCTGAGCCTGGGATCTGCTGAAGCAGCTTTGTGAACTTGGACAAGTGATGGAATTGTTCTGAGGCTCAGTTTCTTACGTTATGCTTGCCTGCGTTTTCCTGAAGATTCAATGTCTTATTAACTGCAGGTTCCTGGGGTCTGGCAGGTTCTCGCGTGTTTCGAAGGAAGAGGCGCTTTCTGAAAGGGATACCAGGAAGTGCAAGCACTGGAGTCCACAGACTCTTAGGGGCCTAGCTTTTTCCAAGGGGAATTCCATTTGAAGAGATCCTAGTCTGTTTTTCTAGTTAAATGGCAAATCTACACTTCAGGTCCACGTTTTGTTTGTCTGCTTGTTTTATGAGGAACGGAATCCTGGGGTAGAATAACTTAACATCCCAGTTGGCTCATCACTCCATGAAGGTTTTCCAAGAACCATCTTGGTCATTTCATAGAATGCCGAATATGACTCCCGTGGATGCATGTCCCTTGTATGTCACTGCGTGTGTGAGATCTTGTTCTGCTCTTGTGCACACAGCCTCCCCCCCCCATATAGTTACTCTCCAAGGTTTACTCCTCCTTGTTTGGACAGACAGTCTAGAGCAGTGACAACCTTCCTCATGCCGTGACCTTTTAATACAGTTCCTCATGCTGTGGTGACCCTCCCACCATACAATTGTTTTCATGGCTACTCCATAACTGCCATTTTGCTACTGTGATGAATCGGGGGACCCCTGTGAAAGGGTCATTCGACCCCCAAAGCGGTCTCGATGCACAGGTTGAGGACCGCTGGTCTAGATGATCTCCAAATGGAATGATTTTTAAAGCAAAGCATTAATGCTGCTCTATCCTGGCTGTAGGAGGTCGGGGTGGCTCTTATTGCTAGTAGGGTCTCAGCCTGGAGAACCTTCCACGGGTCAGAACCGTAAGGTTCTGGGTCTGGACACAACACTCCTTTCTGGGTGGCTCTCAAAAGCTTGGATAAGCATCTTCTTTGGGTCTCTGATTCCACTTTTTTTTTTTTTTAATGGCCAGATCTGGTTGATCATTTAAGTTCCCTAAGATATCTATGATTTGACATTCCTAAGAGATTTTAAATTCCTGGGGTGTCTACTTTCCAGGTGTCTTGGGTAGATGGTCCATGAGCTCAGGCAGACCTGTGGTGGCCTGTGGTGGTGGATGTAGGGAGTTTGACGAGCTCCAAAGAAAGATGACAGGCATTAAGCTTCATGAGGGCAGGGGCTTTTTCATGTCCTGCTTTCCAGTGCCTTGAGTGGTGCTGGATACATAGTAGATGTTCAATAAAACATTTGTTGAGAATGAGCAAGTAATCATTTCTGAAGAACGCCATTAAGAACAATATTTGTTTCTGTATTTGCATTTCTCATTTTTACAAGTGGTCACCAAAGAAGTTGTATTAAAAAAAAATAACTCCTCCAAATACAAAAGAGCAGAGACTTCTAGACTTCAGGTATGAAGTTACAAAGCAGGGGAAACTCCCCTGTGGTGACAGAGGTCAGCATTGAGGTTATCGTTTGGAACATTTTTGGAGGGGGTAGGAAGGAGTTTTCTGGGGGTGCTAAAATGTTTACTATCTTCATCAGGATTGTGCGTACACCCGCAGGCCATGCACTCAGGATTTATGCATGTTATCATATATAAGTTGTAGCTTAGCCTAAAGTAATTCAATAAACAATTCCAAAGTGAAAGTCCTCTTGTGCTGTTCTTTTGCCAGCTGGATGCCCCTCTAGGTTTGTCCCTGATGACCCTGTATAATTTGTCACCATTAACATCTATAGAATAGTATATTTCAGGGAGCAGCAAACTTTTTCTTTTAAAAATTTATAACAGTTTTCGTGGCATCTGATTCATGTATTATACAATGCAATAATTCCGCCACAATTAAGGGTTGTGCAATCATCACCACAATCAACTTTCGAACATTTTCCTTCTTTCTTAGACTCATTGTTATTAGCTTTCCATTTCCCCCCACCTCGCCTGCGTACCCCCAAGAGACCATTAATCCAGTTCCTGTCTATCGATTTACCTATTCTGGATTTCATATGCAGAGAAAAAAAAAACACCCCGTACAATAACAAAGTAAAACAGCCAAACCTCAATGGAAAACAATGCAGAAAACTATTAAATACTAGAACAAATTTTACATGGGTCACAAGGGAAGTGATAAGGCATTACATTTTAATCTAATGGCCTCTGGGACCGTCCAGGTTCCAGTGGACTCTGCAAGGCTATTCACATCCTGGCCCATGGTCAGAGGGGACTCACCAGAGGCTTCATCCACATGTACTTCCCCTTCACTTTTTTTTAGACTGAAACAACTTTAAAATGGGTCAAAACTTTTTTGATAAAAGTTCCAATCGTGGATAGTGTAGTCTCATGGGCCCTCTATCACAACGACTGTTCAGTTTTATAGGTGTTACAGTGGGCAAGCTATTTAATGTCTTTGGGCTTTTAGATTATCATCACATGTAATAACAGTGGGATTGGTCCCTCACAGGATTGTTGCACAGATTAAATGAGGTAACACAGAAAAGATGCCTTGTAGGGGGGCTGGCAGGGCTTGGATTCAAATCCAGGGCTGGTCTAGTCATAGTACGTGCTCCAGGGACTACCTTCCTCCCTTTCTTCCATTTAAGCACACAGGTCTGGGTTAAGTTCACTAAGATTGCCAAGCGCCAACTCTGTGCCAAGCCCTCTGGGGAGAGCGGTCAGAAAAATGAGCAGATGGGGCAAATCTTAAATTGTACCAATCTCCACCAATCTCCTCCTCTCTAGAAGTCCCCTCTGGCTTTGCAATTTCATTTTAAAAATTGTGGTGCTGTCTGCCACACAGTCTGTGCTGGGGAGGCTTTTAAAGGGGAGAGGAGAGATTTCTTTCATTTTGATTCAACAACCCTTTCTACTGGGTCATTTTTATAAATAGGGTGTTCCCAGTAGCTTGTAAAAGATTAAATAATAATAAAAAAGGCCAGTGCCCTAGTATGATATTAAACTAATAAATACTACACCTAGCATAGAGAGCCTTCCCTCTGGAAATATAGTCGGTTCCTCTTCTACCACAGCCCCTATCCCAATGAGACTGGCCAAGGGCCCGGCACACAGTAGTTCCCCATAAGTGTTTCTTGAACAAACACTATGGGCCAGGCTCCGTTGTTTAGACAAAAGCAGCAACCTTTACTAAAAGTTCTTCGCATGTGTTTTCAGATTAATATTCAAACAAGTGTCCGCGAGGTGCCCTTGCTTCAGCTACCTTTCCCCCGCCCCCCCACCACTGAGGTCCGTCCTTTATTCCCATTTGAATGAGGAGGAAATAGAAGCTCTGAGAGGGTGAGGATTGGCCCAAGACCCCTAAAAGGGTGGTGGGGTGGAATCTTGGACTTGAACTGTGGACCTTCTAGTTCTGTGGAAGTGCCTCACGTCTGGCTCTTCTACACTTTCTGAGCCCTCTCTGCCACCCCACCCCCGGCCCCCAAACTTCTGGAAGCACCCAGAAGAGCCCGGCACAGTCTCAGCCCAGAGAGAAATCTTGTGATTGCCGTAGAGCGAGAGCAAAGTCTACCTTCTACCCAGCTGCCCGGCACAAAAAGAATGATCATATTTGTATAGTGTTTATGGTGTGCAAACAGTTTGCTCACTGCATTTGAGCCTCAAAATCACCCCGCAGAGAAGGCAAAGCTCAGACCAAACTCTGCGCCATCGAGTCGCTGCGGACCACTAGTGACCCCGCAGGCCAGGGAACAACCATCGCCCCTGTGAATTTCCGAGGCGAGGCGGTAACTCTTTTTTTTTTTTTTT